TTAGTGATTATAGTAAAGCACTTAACAATTATTTATTTAAATAATACACCAAAGAATATAGACTAATAACATGCAAAAAGTAGACAAATTCACTTACTTCTACAAATTTTCCTGGCTTTCTAACTACGCGACAAGAGTTGTTAGAAATTCAGCTAGATGTTAACTTTCCCACGGGAACGATGTTGCTACTCAGAGTGACGTTGATGGTTATCTGTTCAGAACACAATGTTATACAATACGCCATTTGATAGATGAAAACCTTGACTTTCTATTGGTTATAAATAATATATATGAAACGTAAGAGAGAACTATCAACCAATTGTGAAAGAGAGGATGTGACAGGTAGGTGTGGCAGGAGGGATCTGATTTTCTATTCAATAGCTCTGCAACCAAACAATATTGAAGGCTATACAAATTACGGTTTGTTTGAGCAATGATGATTTTATAGAGTATGTTACTTTTAATTTTGTACATTTTCAAGGGGTGATGGATAAAATAGGGATGATAACATACTAAGACAAAATGTGTCATGTGAGTCACACCAATGGAAATTCAGGATTTTTTATATATATTTCCTTTTAGAATTAAGAACTTAAAACTTGTATCCAGGCTAGTTGTTAACTTTCCCACGGGAAACATATTGCTACTCCAAGTGACATTGATGGTTATCTGTTCAGAACACAATGTTATACAATACGCCATTTGATAGATGAAAACCTTGACTTTCTATTGGTTATAAATAATATATATGAAACGTAAGAGAGAACTATCAACCAATTGTGAAAGAGAGGATGTGACAGGTGGGTGTGGTAGGAGGGCTCTGATTTTCTCTTTGATAGCTCTGTAACAAAACAAAATTGAAGGATATAAAATTATGGTCTGTTTGAGCAATAATGATTTTATAGAGAGCTATTTTACGTTTAATTTCGTACATTTTCAAGGGGTGATGGATAAAATAGGGATGATGACATGCTAAGACAAAATTTGTCATGTGTGTTACACTAGTGGAAATTCAGGTTTTCTTTTATATACTTCCTCTTAGAATTAAGAACTTAAAACCTGTATGCTATTAAAATATGGATTATTAGCTAAGATTTTATGCTAGTCTAATTGGTATAATATAAACAAAAAGTAGTTTAATAAAGTTTTGAATGTAAAACACTAAAACCTTGTGTCATGCGCAGCAGACGGTACCTGGGCCGATAGGGTTAAAAAGATTTTTTTTGTTTCAAAATAAACAGTAAAATTTGTTTTTTCATTTTGTGTTATTAAATGCAATAAGACATTATGGGGGATCTGCTTCAAATACTGATCAGATGATTCATACTGCTAGATGAATAAACATGAGATTTTTCATGCACAACCATAAACTTATACATTATATACTACTTTCAGGCATGGAGATCTAATGTTAGTAGTAAAATAAGTGTGTTTACAAAACACAGAATAGCTCTGGATTTTGTATGACACTCAACTTACAGCTTCTCGTATCTGCTGCTCAATTTTCGCAAGCTCCCTCGTAATTTTTCCATTTTCCTTCTTCTTTTCTTTAATTTCTTCCTCAACTTTCTCCCGTTTCCTGCTGACTCGTTCTAATTCTTTGTTTTTCTGGACCAGCTCTTCCCTTACTTGTTCAATATCTTGTTCATTGTGGTAGAGCTTGTACAGCTGATACTGTAGCTTTTTAACCAACTGCAGCAAAAAGGAAATTAATCATGCTCTTTATATGTCAACCATTCTTTTAGTTTGTACCCAACTAAAAGTACACAGAAAATGAAATCATGCTCCTTACATCTATCATGCACCATTTTAAGTACTTAATCAATTTTTTATTTGCAAATAACAAGTTTTTACTCATGCAAACACTTAACTCATTATAATGAATGAAACAGAATATCAAGAGATCGACATCTTTACCTAAAAAATCATGGAAAGATGTAGAACTGTAATTATATTTATGTATGGGACACTTACACAAGTGAAGTTTACAACTAATTACTAATGAAAGAAAAAAACAAACAAAACCAATGAGCATGAGGGGTTCCAATATGATTATCTCTAATATCTAACTTTTGAGTCTATTCATTTATGTCATTGCAACAAAACAGTCAATCATACATTTAATATAACAATGGTTTTGGTGGAAATCTGAGGTTGGTGTAATGTAAATGTTGCAAGAATAACTTGCGATGTAACTGGACAAAGTAAAGAATAACTTGAGATGTAACTGGACAAAGTAAAGAATAACTTGCGATGTAACTGGACAAAGTAAAGAATAACTTGCGATGTAACTGGACAAAGTAAAGAATAACTTGAGATGTAACTGGACAATGTAAAGAATAACTTGAGATGTAACTGGACAAAGTAAAGAACAACTTGCGATGTAACTGGACAAAGTAAAGTTTTTTTTATTATTTGTTACAAAACAGAAAAATTATTACCAAAACATTACATTAAGTTATATTAAATGATGTGATAAACCCCAATAAAAGCTTTAGAACCAAGTTATATTAAATGATGTGATAAACCCCAATAAAAGCTTCGTCTTACTTGTCTTTATATGCATTTTAGAACATACAAATGTAAGACCATATAATATTTAAAAAACTTTTGTCGTCTGATGAAAATTAAGCCACAGACTGGCACCAGTCTGCGGATGATTGGGAAACACTGGTAGATAGAATACAGCTTGTTAGAAAAATTTTAGTTTTCACTAACCAAGTCTTCTTTAAGTCGTTGGTACTTTTCTGCTTCTTCCTTCTCCATACGAGCTTCTTTCTTTTCAGCAGCAATGCCTTTTTTCTTCTGGTATGTGAATTGTGTGTCCTCTTCAGCTTTCATCATTTCAGTACGTAGTCTTTCATATTCCTCCTTGTGTTCACTGGAACTATAAAAATTTAACAGAAAATATTGACGATTTCAACCTTATAAAGTTAGATCATTGAAAATCTATTAATTTTATGACGATGAATGTATTAGCAGTAGAAGAAAATCACAAAAATATGTTTTCCATTTTCTTACAATTATTTATGAAAATGATAATAAAGCAAAGAATCAACTTGCGACAACTTACTGTCCTGGAACTTTGCATTCCCAACACTAAATCTTACTTCAACGTGTTCTTTACAGTGACCTTTTTTTTGAACTGTGAATACTTAGTTGATATATTTTAGAAATAATATTATCCTTAGTTACAAACCACTTTATATCTTACATTCTAGCTATTATTCTTCTGCCACCTGAGAAGGACTAAAGTTTAAAGTGTTGATGTCTAGTGTTTAGTCCTAGACCTTGATGGAACGGCAGTACGTTATTCACTTGTCTTAAGTCCCTCCCATCAGGACCCGATTTAACTATTTAAATGCTTTCAACAGTGGTATCCAGATTTCACTCAGTTTTATACTAGATTGACCAACTGTTTCAGTTAGGCGGATGTAGATGGCTTCTTTAATATTTTTTTTTCTGGTGTGTACAGTTCATATCCCATTATGTTTTTATTATCTAATTATATTGCACGGTCTTCTCTGACATAATGGGCTATTACAGTAATGGATCACGGTCTCCTCTGACATAATGGGCTATTACAGTAATGGATCATTGTCTTCTCTGACATAATAGGCGATTACTTTAATGGATCATGGTCTTCTCTGACATAATGGGCTATTACATTAATGGATTACGGTTTTCTTTGACATAATAGGCGATTACTTTAATGGATCATGGTCTTCTCTGACATAATGGGCTATTACATTAATGGATTACGGTTTTCTTTGACATAATAGGCTATTACATTAATGGATCATGGTCTTCTCTGACACAATGGGCTATTACTTTAATGGATCATGGTCTTCTCTGACATAATGGGCTATTACATTAATGGATTACGGTT